CTCTCTCTCTCTCTCTCTCTCTCTCTCTCTCTCTCTCTCTCTCTTTCTTTCTTTCTCTCTCTCTGTCTCTCTTTCTTCCTCCTCTCCAGCCGAGGAGATTCCACGAGTAACTATTTTTAACTACGGCTTTTAAACACCCACTTAAAGCAGCGGCTCGCCATCGGCTGTCGTCACGGCGCCCTCCGACGCCCGTCATCGCCTCGTAACGCGTCAACACTCTCGTCCTTCTCCGACCAGCAACTAGATCATTTATTTTGGGGATCTACTTACTTAACTTTTACCTCGCGTTTTCGCCTTAACATCTCTGCGCCACTTCCTTTGTCAATTTTTACTCAATTACTTCATTACCCCGGCCAGATATAACATTCACTTTTGCCCAATTTTCTTTCGACTCTACCGAGACGTGAAGCACCAATGTGGCTTACATGCTACCTCGCCACTGGATGAAACTATCGAGAACAATTTCTTCGACTTAGGACATCCAGTATCCCGAGAACGAGGGGCGCCTATTAAAAGCTCGCGTGCATCGAGTTCATTGCGCGACCCTCTATCCTCGCGAGCTCCTTAATCGCGATTAGAGTCGACCGGAAGGGACGCGTTGTAAACGCCACCATTTACGGCGAGGCGGTACAGGAAGAAGGAAGAAGAACAAGAAGAGAAGAAGAAGAAGAGGCAGCAGAGGAGGAGAAAGAGGAGAAGGTGGCAAGTAGACATAGGCAGGAACGGGAGATGGCACGGTAGCAAATTTAGCAGATCCCAGATTCCAGGTTATTAAAAGTGGGCGGCTGTAGCTTCAAGCGTACGCTTCTGGAAGAGGCGAGAGAAAACGAAGGAGGTAACAGGTGTAGCGTGTATTTATACGCCGCTACCGTGCGTGCGTGCGTCATAGTCATGCAGCCGTATCTCCTTCGGCTCGCGGCCTCTTCATCATCGCGCGATGATGAAGATCGCGTCTGCTCGCGCTGTCTTTCGATTTTTCTGCCACTGCCTCCACGCGTCGCCCACCTGGTCGCGATGAGCCCGATGGGTGCCTCATCTCGTCGCCGTGGACGGGGACAGGAGAAATGAGAAAACGGTGGTTGTGCTGTTCGGCGTGTCACGTTAGTTCTCCCTTGTTCTCCGCGGCTCTTTCTCGGCGAGAATCCGCCGAGGGCCTGCGCGAAAAGAACTCGCCACTTCGCGGGAATCTCCGAATGAGTCTCCTCTCCGACAAATATAGACTCAGGTCTCTGGATCCGCCGGAATGCGCGATGAAGAGATAAGCGACGATCGAGCAGATTGATCGCGTCGCACCTGCGAGACTTCGTGCCAAAATATTCTTTGCCCCCGCAACAACTAATATTAGGCGCCTGGTGGACCGCCCCGTAATTGCATGTGCCAATTAATCGCGAAAGCCCGCGAAGGAAAAGAGAGAGAGAGAGGGGGGATGAGGGAAGGGGGGAAAGTAAGTGAGACACTACGTTCTCGAGAGACTTGGCGCACGTCGGGATACTCCAGCGAAGTAAACCACGCACGTAAATTTGTCATCGACTTAAATACTTCTTGGATAAACAAGATACTCGAAGTTATATCATCTTGAGAAAAGATGAAACGATGCCGAGTCGTATTTTGAAAACGTGTCGCCTGTACAACGAAGGATAAAGGAATGCGACAACAATATTAAGAAGAAAGGAATGGAGATCATTAGGTGTGATAAAAGATGTTAATAATATTAAAGCAAACTGAAGTGAGATAGAATAAAGGAAATCGCATAAAGTCCGCGTGACAATAATATTTTAAGACGCGAATGTAAATAAAAGAGATATTAATGGAATGTTAATGAATGATATGATAAAACAATATTAAGAATCTTAAAGGCATACATATAATCTTCGACGATAATTTATATAGTTTATTTGAAAACTATATCGATACTCATCCAGACTTTCTCCGCTCTTTATTGCGTCATAGGACCTCAACGACAGGTTCAAGGAAGAGGAGGACGCGAGGAACAACCTCTTCCAGAACAAGAAGAAACTCGAGCAAGAGGTCTCCGGACTGAAGAAAGACATTGAAGATCTCGAGCTGAATCTCCAGAAGTCCGAACAAGACAAAGCCACGAAGGACCATCAGATCAGGAATCTAAACGACGAAATCGCCCACCAGGACGAGCTCATCAACAAGCTGAATAAGGAGAAGAAGAATCAAGGCGAGGTGAACCAGAAGACCGCCGAGGAGCTCCAGGCTGCCGAGGACAAAGTCAACCACCTCAACAAAGTCAAGTTGAAGCTCGAACAGACCCTCGACGAACTCGAGGATTCCCTCGAACGTGAGAAGAAATCACGGTAAGCGAGTTCGACGTTTCTGATGACAATTATTTCAATGTTCGCGTTATACTCGGCTTTAAATTATGCCGAGATTTCCCTTACAAGAATACTCACGTGAAATATTATATTTTTTCCACAGTGCCGACGTAGAGAAGGCAAAGAGGAAGGTCGAGGGTGACCTGAAGCTCACGCAGGAGGCCGTCGCCGATCTTGAGAGGAACAAGAAGGAACTTGAACAGACCATCCAGCGCAAGGACAAGGAACTCTCGTCCTTGACTGCTAAGCTCGAGGATGAGCAGTCCTTGGTCGGCAAGCTGCAGAAGCAGATTAAGGAGTTGCAAGCCCGCATCGAAGAACTTGAAGAAGAGGTTAGTTTTGAAACGCTTTACACGATAAAATCAAATCGCGAGATGGACGAAAATATTAGCGATCCGCGAGATTATATTAATTCTAATAGAATTCTCTCTGTGAGAATAGAATCCATTTTTATTCACGAAATATACCTTTGAAATTTATCGTTTTTCGGAAACAATTTAGGTGGAGAATCGTATTACACACAATCTACACACAATCTTCTCCTTCCTCTTTTCCAGATCGAAGCGGAACGCGGTGGACGCGCCAAGGCCGAGAAGCAGCGCAGCGACCTTGCCCGCGAGCTCGAGGAATTAGGCGAGCGCTTGGAGGAGGCTGGCGGTGCTACCTCCGCTCAGATCGAGCTGAACAAGAAGCGCGAGGCTGAGCTCAGCAAGCTCCGCAGGGATCTCGAGGAGGCCAACATCCAGCACGAGTCCTCGTTAGCCAGCTTGCGCAAGAAGCACAATGATGCCGTCGCCGAAATGGGCGAGCAAATCGACACCCTCAACAAGCTCAAGGCTAGGTGAGTCGATCCACTTCTTTCTCTCGGTAAGGGGGGCAGCTGAAAATTTTGACAAATATATCCTTGATATGAAACCGGCACGTGGAAGTTAGAAGGAAGGCGGTTGAAGAACGTAAAATCGGTCGATCGTGCAATCGCGAACTTAAATCTCACATTTTGTGACAAATTACGACGAAGTGTAACGTGATATTTGCAATAGGGCCGAAAAGGGCCGACACGACATCCACGCTGAGCTGAACAATTCGCGCTCTCTTACGGATCAGGTTTCCCGCGAGAAGGTACTTGACGGAGGCATGACCAAAGTTCTCCTCCTGCATCCCGAATTCTCAAATGTAGTGCCGTACATGTGCATCATTAATGTATTTCGATAGATTCCCCTTACCTGATCTATAGAAGATATGTGACTACCACAGAATGCATCCTGAACGGAGAAATAATACTTTGGAGAGATACTTTCTGTCACCCGAATTCTCACGCAGGCCGGATTGAACGCTCATTGCCGTTCGACAAATCAACAAATTGATCTCGCTTTTCTTTATTTTCAATCAAGTAAACACGTTTAAAAAAAAGATAATTATGTGAAGCAAAGTCGTTCGCAATGAGACGATTTAATCCGACTTTTCGAGACGCGAACCTAGAGATCCTGTCATTCGCGCACTCAACCCTTGGACTATTTTTTCCTGTACCGATCAGGGTCGAGAAGGAGAAGGTTCAGTACTACAGCGAGTTGAACGATCTGCGCACGTCCTGCGACCACTTGAGCAATGAGAAGGTAAGGCTCCAAGTCCCGCGTGTAACGACATCCTGACTAACGCAATTAACAGCTTCCGCTAGGTGCAGAATCGCCGCAGTTGCAACAGTCCGAAACGGATTTACGGATCTTTTTCCTCCCACCCACCGTGATCATTCGCGAGAGTCATTCGAGTGAGTCGATGGTCCCCCGCTTGCTTAGCGTTGCTTTGGTCTTTTGTGTGCGTAAATGAATCGAGCTCGTTTTTCAGCGATCATCATTTTCTCCATAATTATTTCATTGATAACGTAAAGTTAACACAAAAGGTGATATTTTTTCTACACGAAGAAAGACGAAAAAGAACAGATTCTCTGCAACTTTTTCAGTTCCTGATTGTTATCACAAAATTATCCAAAAGCGAGCTCGACTATTAGAACCTGCGAAAAATGATCGCATTCTAAAGTGCGTTCTTTCTGTCTCGCGAACCCCAGGCTGCCCAGGAGAAGATCGTGAAGCAGTTGCAACACCAGTTGAACGAGACTAGCGGCAAGCTCGAGGAAGTGAATCGCACTTTGAACGACTTCGATGCTGCGAAGAAGAAGCTGTCGATCGAAAACAGTGACCTGCTCCGCCAACTGGAAGAAGCCGAGTCGCAGGTGAGCCAGCTATCCAAGATCAAGATCTCGCTGACCACGCAACTCGAGGACACGAAGAGGCTGGCGGACGAGGAGTCGCGCGAGCGCGCCACTCTACTCGGCAAGTTCCGCAATTTGGAACACGACTTGGACAACATCCGCGAGCAGGTGGAGGAAGAGGCCGAAGGCAAGGCCGACCTTCAACGACAGCTCAGCAAGGCGAATGCCGAGGCGCAGCTGTGGCGCACCAAGTACGAGTCCGAAGGCGTCGCCCGGGCTGAAGAGCTCGAGGAAGCCAAGAGGAAGTTGCAGGCTAGGCTCGCTGAGGCTGAGGAGACGATCGAATCCCTCAACCAGAAAGTTATCGCCTTGGAGAAGACCAAACAGAGGCTGTCCACTGAGGTGGAGGATCTGCAGATCGAAGTCGACCGTGCTACCGCGATCGCAAACGCCGCCGAGAAGAAGCAGAAGGCCTTCGACAAGATCATCGGCGAATGGAAGCTCAAGGTGGACGATCTCGCCGCCGAACTCGACGCCAGCCAGAAAGAGTGCCGCAACTACAGCACCGAACTCTTCAGGCTCAGAGGTGAGAGGATCATTCGCGACGTTTCGTGAACTGAGAGAAATGAAAATCCGGCTCGAAAGGACGCGATTAAACGCGGGGAAGATACATTATCTAATTTGATGTTATTTTGTTAGCTAATTAATTTACTTCGTGTTGATCAGGAGCGTACGAGGAAGGACAGGAGCAGTTGGAAGCTGTGCGTCGCGAGAACAAGAACCTCGCCGACGAGGTGAAGGATCTCTTAGACCAAATCGGCGAGGGTGGCCGCAACATTCACGAGATCGAGAAGGCCAGGAAGCGCCTGGAGGCTGAAAAGGACGAACTCCAAGCCGCTTTGGAGGAAGCCGAGGCCGCTCTCGAGCAAGAGGAGAACAAGGTGTTGCGCAGCCAGCTCGAACTCAGCCAAGTCCGACAGGAGATCGATCGCCGCATCCAAGAGAAGGAGGAGGAGTTCGAGAACACCAGAAAGAACCACCAGCGTGCTCTCGACTCTATGCAAGCCTCCCTCGAAGCAGAAGCCAAGGTGAGCTCTAGAATTCGACGTATCATTTGAATTTTTAATTTTCTAATTTTTGTTAATTAATTTATAAAATAACTTTGCAGTATTTAAACATTGCAAACATTTAAATTTCAATTAATAACGTATTAACATTCGACTCGTCTTCCTCAGGGTAAAGCTGAGGCGCTGCGCATGAAGAAGAAGCTGGAGGCCGACATCAACGAGCTAGAAATTGCGCTGGATCATGCCAACAAGGCGAACGCTGAAGCCCAGAAGAATATCAAGCGATACCAGCAACAGCTCAAGGACGTGCAGACCGCCCTCGAGGAGGAGCAGAGAGCACGCGATGAGGCCCGAGAATTGCTCGGTATTTCGGAGCGCCGCGCCAATGCCCTGCAGAACGAGCTCGAGGAGAGCCGCACTCTTCTGGAACAGGCCGACCGTGGTCGTCGCCAGGCGGAGCAAGAACTTGCTGATTGCCACGAGCAGCTGAACGAATTGAGCGCCCAGAACGCGTCAATTTCCGGCGCCAAGAGGAAACTCGAAGCCGAACTGCAGACTCTCCACGTGAGTATTGATCTGCTTCTCTCGGACACATGAGAAATTTCACGTTGAAGGGAGGGAATTGTTGTAGCTCTGTCGTATATTTCTATAATTCATATGTGGTGTTTGCGATCCGATTAGTCTGACTTGGACGAGCTGCTGAACGAGGCGAAGAACTCCGAGGAGAAGGCGAAGAAGGCTATGGTGGATGCCGCCAGGTTGGCCGACGAGTTGCGAGCCGAGCAAGACCATGCTCAGACTCAGGAGAAGCTCCGCAAGGCCCTGGAGACCCAGATCAAGGAGCTGCAGGTACGTCTCGACGAAGCTGAGGCGAACGCCCTCAAGGGTGGCAAGAAGGCCATCCAGAAGTTAGAGCAACGTGTGCGCGAACTGGAGAACGAACTCGATGGTGAACAAAGGAGACACGCCGATGCCCAGAAGAACCTCCGTAAGTCCGAGCGCCGCATCAAGGAGCTGAGCTTCCAGGTAAAATAATCTCTGATATTTTTTTATCGCTCGTCGGTATGCGACTTCGACGCTGAGTGTTTGATCTGACTCTCTCGTCATTGTATCCAGGCGGACGAGGACCGTAAGAACCACGAGCGCATGCAAGACTTGGTCGACAAGCTCCAGCAGAAGATCAAGACATACAAGAGACAGATCGAGGAGGCGGAGGAAATTGCCGCGTTGAATCTCGCCAAGTTCCGCAAGGCGCAGCAGGAGCTCGAGGAGGCTGAGGAGAGGGCGGATCTCGCCGAACAGGCCATCACCAAGTTCCGCACCAAAGGACGCGGCGGAAGTGCCGCGCGTGGACTTAGCCCAGTGGTAAGAGCCAACAATCGTATTAAATCGTGTCGGTTTCGCCGCGATCTCTGGATATTCGACTCTTCATCCGCGATATCGAGACGCGCCGCGCAGCTCGTATATTTCCTTTTCTTCTTAACGTTTTTTTTTTCGTCGCTAACTTTATCGGTTATAAGCATTTACACGCGATAACGTAGTGTGTAGTGCTAGCAATAATTCAGAAAAAATCGGGCTCGCGAATTCAGGATTCAGCTCCCGTGTCCTCGCCAATCGTTCATCTTTTTTTAATGACGTCAAAAGCGAGAGAATGTAAAAATTTTTGCAAAATGCGTTAAAATCAAAGGATATACCTATAAAGCGATAATAATGTACTGTAAATTAACAGAATGACAGAATTATGTGAAAAGAGATAGCTTGAAAATATACATTTTATGTCACGTTAATTTACGGTAAATTATTGATTGTTGGAGCAAAAGGAAGGTGTTCGAACTATTTTACAGGTCGGCTCAATTGATTGCGAGTGTCGCTTTATGAATAGATCCTTTAATTTGAACGTATTTGGCAAGAATCTTTAGCATGCGTGTCCTCGCTTCTGACGTTATTAAAGAGATATGGACCATGCGAGGACGCAAGAGCCTTACATCAAGGTTGCCGATTAACGGTGATCGACGATGGAGAGAAGGTGCCTAATTAGCAATCTGTGTGTCCCTGTGCAGCCGCAACAGAAACGCAAGGTGCCTTCCGCGATGGAGTAGACGCACACACACGCACACACACAACCGCGCTTGGTCCATGTAAGTCCGTGCACGTGTCGTCAGCGCGTGGGGTGTGTGTGTGACGTTATATTTAGAGGAAAAAATAGTTCTAGAGAGAGAGAGAAAGAGATAGAGAGAAAGACAGAGAAAGAGAGAGAGAGAGAGAGAGAGGAAGAAAGTGATAGCGGGATATGAGGTCGCAGACCGGAGATTTCACGAAACGCGAAAGGAACATCTTCTCGCGTCCGTCAATCATCCCGGTCAGTCGACCGAAAAATCCGTGTGTCCGATAACCTCTCTCACTAGATGGACCCTGTGAGCTTGTTCTTCGTCATTAATTAACTCTGTGTAACAATCGAACCTTTTGTGCCCTGTTTATTGTCTCTCTCTCTTTCGTAGTGACTCGTAGACATTGCGATTAGACGTCGCCGTAGAGATTAGAGATCCAGCAACGGGGCAATCTCTTCCCACGCGTGGACGGCTCTCTTCGGGATCGTTCGCGGGAAGCTCTTCCCCGTTCTAATCGGCCGGGGGCCGGCCGATTGTCCGTTGACTTTCTGTGTTTTGCTCTCCTCTCGGATCCTGACGACTTGTCTAATTTGCTTTTACCGCAGAAGAACACGTTCCGTCATGGTTCTGCCGCGCGACGTCGCTAGCCTCCAGTTGGCGACTCGTGTCCTCCGTTTATTTGATTTTCTTTTAATCTGGAAAAGATACTCCGCCACGTTGTTCTCCTACCGCGGTCGTATATCTTCGCTCTTGAGTTGTGTGCTCAGCAACACGTGGACCACATGATTCCTCGCGCACGGGGGAAACCTTACTAAATTCAGTCGAGAGACTCGGTTCACCTGACTAGATGGTTTTTGATCGGAGAGGAAACTGTTGTAACTAATGTCACGTGTTACGTAACCGATGTCAGCTCCCCGCATCTCTCTAAAAAAAAAAGAGGAACACGCGTCATCGGCGTGTTTATCAGGCAGTTATATAGAGGTTTCACGACCCTCGTCTCGATCCTATCTGCCGTACATTCGAGTTCAAAAGTTGAATCACGAGTTCAGTCTGATCACGAGCGTGAACGACACACAGAGCGTGTCACTTCCCTTTTTCCTTCTAATCTGTATTTCCAATTTCGTGGAAAGTGATAATACGTCATCCTCGTGCGATTCGGTCGCGGCGACGGGAGTCCGGAGACGAAGCAGGAACGAGCTCGATTGGCTTTTGCGCGACATTTTAGAGTTTATTACATATCTTGTTTATTATTCTATTCATGAAAACTTTATTGATATAAGTAAACGCGTTTAGTTAATTGAAACTTATATTATGTATACATCAGAGTTGCGGAAATGTTATTTCTCTTATTGAACAATTTTTCCATTGTATAAGAGATTCGTTTCGAAAGTCACAAAAAAGTCAGATAACTTATCCGGCACCAAATAATTGCCGGCGATAAAGCATCACGAATCTCCTAGTTTCGTAAGGACGCAAGATTCGTTCTCCGGCATCTCAGTCGCTGGCCCCGGCATTATCACCCATGTCGTGATAATGCACTTGAGCAACTCAGTTAAATTCACCGTGCGTCTCTTTTTTCAGCCACACCGACCTGCGGTAAGACCCCTGTTAGATGGTTCCGCATTCCCGCCACGCTTCGACCTGCAGCCCGATGGTGACCTGTAAAGCTCCTTCCTAAAGAGAGAGATTCGCGTATAAGTAACTAAAGAAACACACCAGACGGAGAAAAAAAGAAAAAAAAAAGAAAACAAAGATATTAACAACGAAACAGCTTTAATATCCGGAGAACAAGAAGAAGAAAGCTAACGGAGGAAGAGGAAGATCATCGTCCTTGGGAGTCCATCGTCGAACGAAGACACGAAACACACAACGAACCCGAGAGCTCGCTCGCTCGGAGCTCTCAGCGGGCATCGTCATCTCGCGATCGAGCGACCGACCAACCGACCGACCGACGGATAAACATCGCACTCGGATCATGAAATGTCACTATCACGCGCGAGCCGATGGTATAATTTATTGTTTTCCTCTTTCTTGCTTCTTTTCGCTATTTAATCAGCCAGGAACGATCGGGAAATCCTCGCGAATCGCGAAATGCAGCTTCGTAGAGAAGAGATGAAGGAAGAGAAATTTAATACTCGAAATAGGATAAGCATAGGATGGAATGTGGAGTTTGAGGGTTCGCGAGGTTTTTCTTCACCATTCGAGCTGGTGGTCGAGGGGGAGAGAGAGAGACAGAGAGAGAGAGAGAGAGAGAGAGAGAGAGAGAGAGAGAGAGAGAGAGAGAGAGAGAGAGAGAGAGAG